GATCATCGCCCGCAGCGTGCCCGCCGCCATCCTCTATGAGGACGACAAGGTAGGGCGCCGCGGCGCGCGTGTCCCCTCCCGGGGCAGGGCGGGTGGCAGCACCCCCGGGCGCGGGGCTCACCCCGCGCCCCCGTCCCCCCCGGCAGTGCCTGGCGTTCCGCGATGTGGCTCCCCAAGCCCCCGTCCACTTCCTGGTGATCCCCAAGCGCCCCATCCCCCGGATCAGCCGCGTGGGTCCCCAGGACGCCGAGGTGAGTCCGGGGGTGTCTCTGGGACATGGAGGGGGACACACACACAGACGGTGCTGACCCTCCCCCCCCGCAGCTCCTGGGCCACTTGCTGGTGGTGGCGGCACGGACGGCGCAGGCAGAGGGGCTGGCTGATGGCTGCCTGCCGTGCCACAAACTTGGCTCACATCAACACAGCACAAAAAAGCAACCCAAAAGACTACAACTACAAACCAAACTAAAGCAAAAACTTCCTCACGTTATGTGAGAGCTGACTTGTAGCTTTCTGAAAGAAAGCTTGAGGAAACCAGCCTGAGAAAGAGATCAGGGATGTGGGGTGAGCAGAGGCCCTCTGAGCCAAGGAAAATCTCAAACACTCGCAGGCAGCAAATCTACAGTCACGGGGTGGATCGTGTGGAGTTTGGGGCTGATAAGGCTGCCTGGATAGCACAGGGGGGGCTGGAGGAGGGAGCCCTGAGGAGACAGGAGGGCTCTGCTCTGGTGCATCTGGTTAACATTTAGGGGTCGTCTGTCCAGTGAATGACCTTTGCCTCATTATTCAGGAAATGCATATCAAAGTTGACATCTTTGAATATGTTAATTAATATTAACTATATCATGCTAATGACATCATCCCATGAAGCACTTTACCCCTCCCCATACAAGGGATAGCAGGTATGTGGGTTGACCTGGGGGATGGACCCAAAGTGTGTATAAATTGAGGGGGAAAAGGAGTGAAAGACAGAAAGAAAAAAGAAGTAGAGAGGACGCATACATCCCTGATGAACTCGAACCAACAGAGGAACGTGGACCATTGATCTCTGTTTCTTTACCCCTCTTTCATTTTTCCCCTTTTCCCTCACTACCGTTAAGTTAATGCAAGGCATACTGTATTGCTTGCCATAAGTTGTTATATACTTAGCCAATTACTGTATATCCAATTACTACATTGTGGAAAGTTAATAAATGTCTGGACTTACCTCACTGTTGTCCATTCTGTTGGGGATTTACAAATCTTAAGTCACTTGTGTCCCTTTTTTGAGCAGGACATGACACATTAAAATAAAAATAACAACATCACAGTATGGAAACACAGTCCACACAACCCACCTGTTGTTCCTTCATTGTTCCTTCACCACAGTTACAACAGAAGATTCCCATGGTTGTTCTGCTATCAGGGTCAGTCTATATTGCCTGTTACCTCTCCCAATTACTATCCTTATCTCGCATCCCTCTGTCCCAGTTGGGTGCCAGAAAGGACATTCCGGGTTTAAACCCAGACACAAGACAGACACCACGCAGCCACTCGCTCCCCTGCCCTGCTTCCGGGGAATGGGGAAGGGACTTGGAGGGGTAAGGGTAAGAGACTCCGAGAGTGAGATAAAAACAACGTAATAATTGAAATAAAATTACAATAGTAATAGTAATAATAGAAAATATGAACAGGTAATGCACGATGGGATTGCTCATCACCCGCTGACCGATGCCCGGCCTGCTCCTGGCTTGTGATCTCAGAGAGGAGAGAATCTGAAACCACCATCCCAAACACCCGAGTGCAGCTTCCCAACCAGCCCTTCTCTATACGCTGAGCATGACGTTCGGTGATATGGAAAGTTCCACTGGCCAGCTGGGGTCTGTTGTTTTGGCTGTGCCCCCCGGCCCCGCTTCTTGTGTACCTGCACACTTGCAGGCCGTGAGAAGTTGCGAAGTCCTGGATTTCTGAGCAACAGCTAAAACCATCAGTACAAGTGTTCTTCTCACACCGAATCCCAGACTGAATCCAGAACACAGCACTGTTCTAGCTAGTAAGGGGAAGGAAACCCCCCCAGTTATCTCTATCCCAGCCAAACCCAGGACACCCTTGTAGCCTGTGGATCCCATGGCCACCTGCCTCCCGGGTCCATGTCCCCTGTCCCGCAGCCTTGTGTCCCTGGCCCCAGACCTTATCCCTGCCCCAGACTGTATCCTTGTGCTCAGCCTTGTGTCCCTGTCCCCATCCCGAGGCCCCTGTCCGCAGACCACGTCCCTGTCTCCAGCCCCAATACCCCTGTCCCGCAGCCTCACGTCTGTTTCCCCAGCCCCATGTCCGTGGGCCCGGGGGGGCTGCAGACGCAGGGCAGAGAGCTGCGCGCATGCAGTGGGGCAGCGGCGGCGGG